CAAACAAAAATCCCACTGTTAATTTTCAATAAAAATATTACGATAAAAATCATTTGTAAGTTATCATTTATTCAAAATAACTTACAATGAATTGTACTTGTCAGATGTATAGGTATGGAGCTAGCTGTGGACCTTTTCTAGGTTATGCGTATGCTTCAAAATAGAATGTGAATATGATAGAATTTTGTTTATTATTGAAGAATTTACATTCCTATTAAAAATGGCTTCCTTTAGGTAGACCGATAGACTTTATATGCTGCCCTTGAAATATATGTGGTCGTCCATTCGAACGAATTGCAATTATAATTTATTATCATTTGCAAATATTTAAGGGGATTTCATATACTAGAACACGAAACAGGGAAACGTGGATAGTGTTCTACACAATATCTATACCTTTCCATCCAAAATATTTGATTTCTATGTTTCTTGCCAGGATATAGAGACTTATGTTCATTTGATTTCTATGTTTCTTACCAGGATATAGAGACTTATGTTCATTTTACAAGTACAGTACTTCATTTTTTACAAAGAAATTGGACACGGGTTTAGTAATAATATCAAAATATATGTTAACGAATATGTAAAAATGTTCAAAATGGACTGCATATTGATGAATATGTTAATATAAGCAAAGGCTCTTCCTCTTCTTGTTGATCTGGTTCTCAACTGATATGAGACAGACTTCACACAGGATTGATTAATTGATTGATTGATGGTTGCTTAACGTCCAGTGGCAAATATTTCATGCATGTTCAGGACGAGAACAAATTAGCAATCAATACAATGGGTAGGTCTTGTAATTTAGACCGTCCGGGATGAGGTCGGAGAAATTTCGACTGCCACTGGAAAATGAGGGTATATTGGATAGGGACAGAAATTTGGCTTTGTAACAGGCCACCTACGGACCCCTCAAAGAGTTGTTGCAGGGGTTTTTAATAGCATGGCACTCACTCTACACTACCAAGAATTTACCAACGTTTTTTTGGTACATTTCTACCCTCGTACATATCAGTACTGTTCGGCAAGACTAAAAACTTGTAATGTTATACTTCCTATTAATTCAGTACTGTTTATTATTATACAAAAACTGTACAATTACTAATTCTATAAATTCAGTACTGATTTTTTCAGTACTGTTTCAGTACTGATTTCGTCAGGACTGTTTCAGTACTGATTTCGTCAGTACTGTTTCATTATGATACTGATTAAGTCAGTACTGTATCTTTACGGAATATTTCATTATTGTTTTAAGTATATTCTTACTTTTTTTCAGTGCATGGATTAATGTGTTCATTTAAAAAAAGATGTCATTTCTTTTAGTACGTAGCTGTGCACTTTAGTTTATTTATCTTACAATTGGTTACAATGTTTACATTTGAATGCATACAGTGATGCCAATTTGAAAATAAAAAGAACTGAAAAACTAATCAACTAGGTAATTATGTATTAATAGCAAAATTAAGGTATCGGTGGTCTTAGGTTGTTTTGTACATTTGGGTTGGGTTAATTGTTCTCTTTGACACTTACCCCGTTTCCATCCTTTTCTATACTGTGACATCTTGATGATTTCGTTATGTTTTTTTATTTCGCTGATTTTTTGTTCTGATTTTGTTTTACTTTAGGTCCAGCTCTTCAACAGTTATTTTAGCTGTTTTTTTTTCAATATTTTGGCATTGTCAAATTTGCATCTCATTCTGGTGCGGTCAATTGATATGGTTTATGTTTTTAGTAAGTTCTTATTTATATAGGTTTTATATTTGACAATATCATATTACATGTATCTGTGTCTTGCTTGGGTCAAATCAAAACATATTTAACAAGACTTGAACATTGAAACTGGGTATATTACTTTGAGAAGATGGATGGGTGGATGTTTTGTCATCCAGTGGCAAGTTAAGTGCATAATCAGAACGAGGACTTGATACTCAGATATAAATAATGACACTATTTTGCACTAGACCAATATTACACTGAGTTGAATTTTTGACATGCTAGTTCACCACAAGGAGAGAATCTGCTAGAAGACATGTCATCCTAACTGGACAGGTACCTTCAGACTAAACAGTCTATGTTTTTTCTCCTTAAAAAGTTTACGCTGTGTGCTGAGGGAACAATTATAATACAACCACTTTTCCAGTCCTAACTCTCATAAATACATTTCCGTTTACTTGCCCATTGTAAGGGAGCTACCATTTGATTTTTAGGGGGGGGGGGGAGGGGCTAGGATGAAAATATTTGTCCTGCATTTTTTTTTTAGTTGTAATCCTTGTCCTGCCTTTTTTATTTTTCACTGTGTTCGGTCCTGACTTTTTTTTACCTAAATTGTCATCCTGACTTTTTTTTTGCAAGTGTCTCATCCTGCCATTTTTTTTGAAAGTGTCTCATCCTGCTTTTTTTTTTAACTCAAAACTCCTGTCCTGTCTATTTTTTCAAATTTCATCCTAGCCCCCTAAAAATCAAAATGGTAGCTCCCTAAGATTTTTAATGGTTAAATAAATTTATTAACAGTCATTGATAGATTTCCTTTTTTTGTATACATTAATCATGCTGCAATTTCATTCACTTGTAATTTGTGTAATGTGAATAGTATCTGCATTGAGGGTAACTTAGATATGAAAAACTATTGTAATCTGTCCTATTAACCGTAGCTTCAAAGCATATTTAACTAAAAAATAAATGAAATTTTGTGTAAGAATTAATAGGTATCCTGTTAACGGGAAGTTGAATGGATGAATTTTAAACTGCATTACTCAGTAAAGCATGTTCACATGAGGACTGATGACTTTCAGGAAACTCTTGATTTGTAATTCCTCAGAAAACTGTGATGGATTTGCATATTACAGACAGACATACAGAGGTTAAAAAAGTATCAAAATCTAAAGACCGATTTCCAACAGAATGATTTTAAAATGTCTGAAGGATGTCATTTGGTACATAAATTAACCTTTTTAATTTTTTAGCATAAATTCCCACAAAAAGACCTTCTCCTTTCATGAAAAATGACTTAATCATATATACCTCACATTACAAATTACATAAATTATTACAAGTTACATGGATTTGAGTTACTTTTTGAAAATATTTCAATACTAGTACTAAAAACATGATTACTAATTTTACATTATTCCTGACAATTGTGGTCAGGTAGCTATGTATATATGTATGTACGTAGATCCCTCCCTTTACGGAGCATCCATCGAGAGCTACGACTGTACAGTGGAATCCGTGTAGTGACACTCCCTATCGGGATTAATGGCGATGTGTCACTAATGTACATTTGTTGACCATTAAAATACATGCTTTGCTCATCAACATTGATTTTTTTGTTAACTGAATAAAACAAGATGAAGATCTCAAATGTTTAACTTTCTCTTTTTATCTACTGCATTCACTTCCATTGCAAGTACAATAAACAGTAATCTTAAGAATGAACAGCATGATATAGTTACAACATGTAAAATTTCTCTCTCAATTTGATGTTTTTAATCACTGTTTCATAATTCTGCTTCAATGTTATTTTGCACTGCTCTTCCAGTGCATGTGATATCACATATCTTCGCCAACTTGTTTCTGAAAAATAAAAGGTTGATTATAACACTGTCAGATTTCAATGTTATCATGTTTGTTAAAGTCCAATAATAAGGCCAACTATAGGTCAACCACAACATAATATGTATAGTGTACATGCATTGCTAAAGTTGGTATTACGTAAATAAAGGTGCATATTATCATGGAGAAAAATGAAAAAAGAATGGAATAATGTATGGGTTACCTACTTGAAAACTGATCTAATACGATTGGGAGAAAAATTTTAGCGCCCCAAGTCTGGGTTGGCAAATTTCCATGTTTTCAATATAGGCTGCACTCTGACATTCTTAAATTGTTTTGTTATAAATTAGGCCGTTAACTTTTCTAAATTGAATTGTTTCATATTTTTCATGTCTTCGTCTTTTGTAGCCGACTATACGGTATGGGTTTTCTCATTGTTGAAGGCTGCACAGTTGCCTATGATTGTTAATATCCACTTCATCTGAAATTTGGTGGGTAGTTGTCTCATTGGCAATCATACAACATTTCATTATTTTATACAGCAGTTTAAAAATTTTAAAAAAGTATTCTTGTTGTTGAATTTTTCATTATTTGTAACAGTGGCAATTCTGATTAAATTATCATTTCAATCTGTAATCCAGTTTCAGAGAAGGAGATCTTTGTTTAGATTTCCTTTAGGTTCATATGTTAAACTATGTCCTGATGTGACACTAATCCTAATTTCTTACCAGTTCTATCTCGATCTTATATATTATCTGTTCATTACAGTTTTTAGTTGTTGATCTATGCCTTTATTTTCCTCATAGACTTATTATTTTTGTTCTGGTGGGATCCATTTTTGGAAACCTATAACAATAGATACTGCATCAAATATTTTGCATCAATTTGTAAAAAGTTGTTATTCCCAACATGCTTTTTATGGTATTATTTATGAACCTAATACTTTATAAACTGTCATTTGAAAAAGTACATCATGAGAGAAAGATTGTATCGAAGTGTTACAAAGTTCTGTCAAGTGGTTAATGAGCAATTGATGACACATGGGACATAAGGGCAAAAGGACAGACTCCCCCATCATTAAATACATGTAACATACCCTTTAGCAGGTGGGTTAAGTCGCCACATACACGAACAGGAATAACAGTGCCTGTCCTAAATCAGGAATCTTTGGGAAATAGTGGTCAATTGAAATATTATAACACATTTATATAACAAGAGTGTCCACGCTGAAATGTCGTGCCTGCTTTACTGACCATGCACTATTTCTTTTGAAAGTTTAATGCATAAAAGTACCACAGAAACTTGACATGTTCAATGATCCATGACAATGAAATTAGAGTCTGTATGACAGTCAATTCTATAATCATAGATAGGGCATTATGTTCTTATTCAATACTTCAAACGAACATAAAGCATTTACAAAGTAAAAACTCAACACAGGTTTTGGTTATCAGCTCGCCCCGACAGCACAGAAAGCTTCGATTGATAAAGAAAGGGACATAAAGAAAAAGGGGGGACAAACAATATAAATTACAATCCTAAATTCTTAGATACTGACAATCTGTTGAGTATACTCTCTTTAACATAACCATCTTTGGCTTTATCACTTTTCCATCTCCCGTGTTTCTTAAACAACCGGTCATCTATTCCAGCTTCTGCCGCGGCAGTAGCTCCTCCTGACCTCAAACTATGTAAGCCAAACTGTTTTTTATCAAGACCTAAACTGTCAAGTGCAGATAACAATAACTCTCTGGCTCTGGTGTAAGAAATATGACTACTCTTTCTAAGTTTGTATATATTCAAAGATTTACAATAACAAATAGATCTAAAAATAAAATCATTCGATTCTTCAGGAATGTTAGCTAACTTTAGATAACGCTGAAGTACATCTACCGGGCATGTAATATTCCCTGTTTTTGAAATGACAACATCTTTCCCTTCCCTATATACATCAGTTTTACTCTTGACTAAATGAAGTGTAAGGTAAGTAGGGGAAAACTGTATATCAGACCTTCTCAAGTTAGCTAACTCGGAGAATCTTAAAAAGCCAGCATAGGCTAATAAACACATACATGCTATTCTTACATCTTTTAAATTACAAGTATTATTAGCATATTTACATACAATATTTTTCAAAATATGCGGTGTGATAGGTTCTTTTTTGACAACTGAATGACCTATTTTTCTATGAGCCCCTTCAAGAACAGATGCAACTAGATTATTTTCACTGGGATCAGCAACGCCAGCTAATTTATGTGCCCATTTTATGGCGTAAAAAGCATCATTTAATTTTGAAACCGATTTTGCAGTTTCAGACAAATGAATTAAATATAAAGAAATATGTAAATGAGATGCTGGCAATGGTGAAAAAGAATATTGACTAGTCCACTTACACCATGAATTGAAGGCATATCTATATTTCTTCTGAGTACTCGCAGCCTTGGACGAAAGAAGGAATTCTGGTAACTGTTTGAACAAACTGCTGAGATCATTATTAGAGGCAACTTGTGAATTAAAGTCTGACCAATGTCCTACTGAAAAAATATCTGAAAAACGTAAAATTGCAATAACATTTTATATACATATACAGAGGACGAATTATTAGCATATTTCAGATTTCTATACACAGTAAAATATAATATATATTCAAATATTTCAACGCCAGCTACAATATCTTTATAGATACTAGGGCCATAAACTGTAAAACAAATTACCATGCCTGCTAAAATATCATTATAGATACTAGGGCCATGTCAAATAAAAAACCAAGCCTGCTACAATATCATTACCGATACTAGGGCCATGTCAACATAAACACCCATGCCTGCTACAATATACATATACTAGGGCCATGTCACAAACAGACCATGACTGCTACAATATATCTATATATATATTAGGGCCATGTCACAAACAGACCATGCCTGCTAAAATATATCTATATATATTAGGGCCATGTCTAAGATGCATCTAGCAAAACAGCCAAAACTGGCGAACCAAACGGTTCAATTCCGAATATCGTATTCTTATTCGAACCTTGCTTATAAATACCATCAGTATTTTTAAACACAATAACATCTTTTACGTAATCTTGATAAATCAGATGTTTATCGAATATCAAAGGCCAGAATGCAGCAGAAATCCACTTAGGCACAACTAACGTGCCTCGAGCTTTACAAGCTATAATGTGTTTAATCGATCGTATCACAAGATTAATTGGTGGAACTAGCCAATTATTTTCATTGGTCCAAACTTGAGAAAATGCATCAACTGCTTCAGAATCAGGTTGCCAAAATAAGGAGTTAAATCTCATAACTTTTCTATTTTCGACACTTGCAAACCTGTCAATCGAATAAGGACCCCACATATCATTTAAAAAATTGAAAAATATATGTGTGACTCCCCAGTCCTCGAAATCAACCATTTTGCTGATATAATCAGCCTTTTCATTTTCTTTTCTGGGAATCCATTGAATGTCAATTGATATTCCTTTTTGAATGCAAAATGAAAAAATAGATTTTGCTATAACATGAAGATTTTCTTTCATACTTCCCGAATTAACAATTTTGACACAATTTTGATTGTCAGTAAACCACTTTATAGTTTTTCCTGTGAAACTATTCTTAAAAGAAAAAAGGGCCAACTCTATAGCTTTCAGCTCTCTCCATGTGGAGCTTTGTACCGTTTCACTACATGTCCACATCTTATGGAAAATCTTATTTTCTAATTCAACGGTGTATGCACCAGCGGCAATATTACTAGCATCTGAGTATATGACAACAGAAGATTTACTGTAATGACATAAATTACGATAGTTAATCATGGTGACATTTTCTAACCAGAACTTTAACTCTGATAAAACCTCGACGGGTTTGTACCCTGTAATGGGAATATCCCACCCAATTCTACTTTCAATTTCCATGTAACAGAACTTTGACATAATTCTAGCCACATTTCCGATTACGGGAGTCATAGAAATAATTCTACCTACAACCTGAGCTAAAGATCTAGCTGTAACATAGGGAAATTTAGCCAAAATTACATTCAATGAGAAAATCAAATCGTCAACTCGACGTTGAGTAATAGATAATTTGTATTCTTTCGAGTTCCAAACTATTCCCAACCATTCTAACTCGGTAACAGGTTTAAAAACAGACTTCTCCTCGTTAATAAGGAAACCAGCATCAATCAAAGACCTTTTTACGAAGGACGATTGCTCATTACATGTATTTTCATCTGGACTCATGCCAAATCCATCATCTAAATACAAAACAACTTTTATACCGTTTCCACGCCAAAATTTTACTAGTGGCCTCAAACATTTAGTAAAAATGTACGGACCGGTAGTAATTCCGAAAGCTAAAACAGTATAGCAATAAAATTGACCTTCCCACTGAAAACCTAAGAAAGTCTGTTGCTGTGAGCATATGTCTAAGTGAAAATAACCAGATTTTAAATCAAACTTAAACAGATACATATCTTTGTCAAAATATTGTATAGCTAACTTCCAATCCTCAAATTTTATTTTTTCGCGCTTTATGTGTTTATTCAATTGACTCATATCTAAAATAAGTCGTTTCTTACCGGACTTTTGAGTAGCAACACTCAATGGATTTACCACATATGGTTGAAAAGGCACTTTAATTACGCAACCTATTTGAACTAAATCTTCAATTGACTTTGTGACAAATTCAGTATTCTGCCGTGCTGATCTATTATTTCTGTGGTACATTTTAAAAGGTGTATCTATAAATGGAATAACATAACCATTTTTTATTGTATCAAGCACAAAAGGACAAGCACCTATATTTTCCCAATACTTTACATGACAAGCTAATCTACCTTTCACCCCTTTAAATTTATCATATGACTGACAATTTTCAAAATATTGAACTTGATCTAAAAAAGATTCTATATAATCGTTATCAACAAAACATGTAGAAAATTGGTCATTAATAGTGTCTAAATACTTATTATTCACAATGACTGGAGAGTGACGTTCAGGCCCTACTTTACTACTTCTGGTAGGTTGTGGAGTTGCTGTTGGATGACCTGAGACTGGCGAGAAGAGGACAGTTTTTTCTCCAGTGGCCTTGTTGCTTGCAGTAGTGGCACGTGTCGATTGAGCAAGGCTCACGCCTTGCGAAGCTCCCACGAAAGGGCTGTTGCTGATTACGTTGATAATGCTGAGCGTAAGCAGGGTTACCATAAGATTCCGCAGGTTGTTGACGAGGCGGATTTTTTGGGTAAGGTTGCTGGCGAGATTTTGACTTCTCCTTGGAGGTACGGATAGCTCTGGTCTCAGCTTGTCGTATCTTTCTCTCATCTTCAGAATCTGAAGCCACGGCATTGGATTCGTATTCCCTAACGGTTCCCCAACCAGCAGGGGAAGCATCAGCTATGCGTATTTTCTTATTACGGGTTTTGATCTTATCAGTTATGTCAAGAACTAATCTATAGGCTTGAGTATTGGAGTTAGGGATGAATTTTGAAAGTTTATTAACAGTGTCTAATAATTCCTCGTTAAAGGTGTACTGAATTCTGTTTCCTTCCCCCTTAAATTTTAGAGTGACGTCCTCCTTAATTTTTCTCTTAAGGCAATCTTGTTCTTGTATGAGTTCAGATTTCAACTCACCTAACTTGCTGTCTAAAATTGTCTTAAAAAGCTCTACAGTATCTACCAAATCAGACGACTTATCAGCTGCTTTATGAATATTAGGTGGCGGTAAACTATTATCTCCTTCGAGTAGTATGTCTTCATTCAATTCCAGACGAGGAGAAGATTCGGACATTTTACCAAGTGGCGATTTAAGAAAAAAACGAACCTTTCTGTCGGATAGGCGAACCTCGAATGACAATTCTAGATATCTTATTATAATTTAGCGCTAAAATTCTAGCATGAAGTTATCATGATTGATATAACTTAAACCGGTAATAACTTACTGATGGTCCAATCAAATTAAACATAAACATGTTTTGATTTAAACACACGTGTTAAAAGTAAACAAATACACGTGTTCCCGAGTAACCTTTATAAATACATGTCCATATATCACGATCATGACCAGTTTTCAATTACTATTATATAATTAAATTGTTTGGAACATGCATGTAATATTTGCCACTGGACATTAAGTACATTTTGAATACATGTATTGTAAGTACTTTATGAATGTGTCAGTATTTTTGAGGACTCTCACTGACTCAGTAGGATTGTTTTTATATAATGGAATTATCCTCTTGAAATAAAGACTATTTATACGAAATTTTGTTCAATAATTATGTGTCGGATTATTAGGGTGTCGGTTCATTGGGTCGTCGGACTTTTGGGGTGTCGGACTAATGGAGCCTTGAACCGACATAAATTCAATCATTGACCAATAAAAAAATATATATTTCTACAAAGTGTATGTACATGATCTCTTCATATAAATTTCACATGCAGTTTCCCTTGGAGCCGTATGAAAACCAGGATAAGACCGGTTCAAACAGGAAGATTAAGAAAGCAAAGAAAACTGTGCACTTTATAAAAGGGTCTGGATGGGGTTTCTTCATTTCTGTATTCTTTAATATTTTATACCATTTTCACTATTTATTATAAATTTTGCCTGTTAGTCTGTTTTCTTTATATTTAAGCACCACATTATTTTCTACTCTTTATGGCTACTTCATAAAGACAACAAAGGGACTGATATGAAAGCCTGCCATTCTAAAGTTGCATTAAATCCGTGAAAAAAGAAGGGACATTGGATAATTGTCTGTTTTCTGTTTCTTGGTCTTTTCTCACTTGCCGTTGGAGGCAAAATTTATGTCTCTTTAGTTTGTATCTTATTATAAAAGAATATAGGTAAAAAATATAATCCCGCTAACATGTTTAACACCGCCGCACTCTGTATGTATGTATACTGTCCAAAGTCAGGAGCCTGTAATTCAGTGGTTGTCGTTTGTTGGTGTGTTACATATTTGTTTTTTGTTCATTTTTTTTTGTACATAAATTAGGCTGTTATTTTTTTCTTTTGAATTGTTTTACATTTGTCATTTCGGGGCCTTTTATAGCTGACTATGCGGTATGGGCTTTGATCATTGTTGATGGCCGTACGGTGACCTATAGTTGTTAATTTCTGTGTCATTTTGTCTCTTGTGTAGAGTTGTTTCATTGGCAATCATACCACATCTTCTTTTTTATAAACAAATATATGCAAGTCTAACGTTCTGTTACCCCTTATGGAACCCGTTTGAACTAAATTCCAAAGGAAAGACATTTTTTGACATAATAATTTTTTTTGTCTTACACATAAATGTCAACATGCATGTGAACCAAATGTACACACAATTATTGTTTGTTTTAAAAGGCAATTTGGGTGAATACAGTTGTGAATTTGACTGCATACGTCTGACGTTAACGGAATCAAAAAGGTAGACTCTAAGGTAATTTTATACTGTAACTTTATGTGCTAAACCGTTATATAATCCAGATGACACTGAGGAAAAAATCATTCATTGACATTGTTAATATTCTATTCTTTTCGGTTTTTTTTTATGTATTTTTCTTAATAATTACATGCATGAAGTGTGTATTTATGTTCAGAAAAATAATTAGAGTGAGGTGCACATATTCGCCGGGGACACAATTTCGCCGTTTTATGATTTTGAGGTGTAAAAACTTCAAAGGATGGATGAAATGGAAGAAATGTGACGGTAAATTATATTTTTATAACAAATATGATTATTTTTTAAACTTAGACAAAATTTTGGCACTTACCGCAAAGGACCAAAAAAACGTACAACGTTTTGATAAATATTGTTTTAAGCTGCAGTTATGTGGTTTTAAATAGATGTGTAATAATGGCGAATATGTGTCCCCCTTTGACAAAACATCAGGAAATTTCAAATTGCCTTTAATCTAACTTTTTAGATGAATTTTTTTCAAAGAAACACGTTTTCAAGCTAAGAATATTTTTCTTTTGATGTAATCTTCATATAGAAATATCAGTATACTTCAAAAACATAAATACCTGAACATAAACTGCAGAAAACATGGAAAATTATGGCGAAAATGAGCACCCAACTCTATTGACTTAGCACTAAAAAAGTGCATTGAAATAGGATCAAATAGGCCTAGTTTTTTGTCGAAATAGAAGACAAAATCTAAAAAATTATATCAGGATGTTCACAAAAAAAAACGAGTAAAAGTATGATTTCTTAAGTTTGTAAAACTTACATGAACAATAGCAATTCGTAGACGATTCGAAAAGGACCCTCCATCTCTGACTTGTCGTGGAAATCGTCTGTTTCTATAACTTTTAAGACTTTTTGCAAGTGGCTTGTAGAACAATATTTTCTCTGTCTCAAAATCTTGCCGCCCTCTTGCTGAGTTTTTTTCTTGCTTTGTCGCGCCAAAAGCATATTGACGTTTCATATCTGTGACGTTGCAAAACTTGTGCCTCGCTGTAGAACAGCGCTTTCCCGCCGTCCATAATTTTTCCCGCGTCAATGGAGCCGTAATTATGTTCAAAAGCGATGTAAAAGTAATTTTATGAAAACTATTGCTCTAAGATTGTTATAAACGATGTTTTTGATACAACATTATTTAAAAATACAACTTTTAACCTTGAAATATAGTTTTTTTTTTTTCATCTTTCTTGTCTTTATAAAAAAAAATGAAAATAATATACCCATTGCTACTAGCTTTATAAGCGCTCTTGTTTTATCTTTGTCAAGTGAAATGCATAACTGATTCTTAACCAAGTTGGCAAGTACATGTATTTCATGCAATATTTAGGACGTCTGAAATTTAATGTACAATAAATCTGTTGCTCAGTGGGTCCTACAAAGTAAAAGATCTGTGATGAATGGCTCAAAATTGAGATTTTGCCAAGTGCTGGGAAAGGATGATTTGTAGGATAGGAAAAAAATCATTGGGTCACCTACTTAGGGAGCTACCATTTGATTTTTATGGGAAAGGGGGGGGGGGGGGGGGCTAGGATGAAAAATTTTGTTCTGCATTTTTTTTTAGTTGTAATCTCTGTCCTGCCTTTTTATTTTTCACTCTATTCGGTCCTGCCTTTTTTTAAGTTTATCCTGACTTTTTTTTAAATATTTTTTATATTAATGCTTCAATGATGAAACGGGAATAAAATGTATTGAAATATCGTATGGCAGTACAAGTATATCGGGTAACATTTATGTACTTTTACAAAAAAAATCTTCACTGAGAATTCAATCGCGGCATTTGAGTTCTAAATAAATTTTCCAGTTCTCTTAACTAAAGCGTGTATTGTGTATATTAATATTTCGCGTAATCAAGTATAACAGTTACCTTTTCTATGATTATTTATTAGGAATGCGATTATTATATGAGATATTCTGATTGAAAGATGTATGAAAAAAAACTGACGTTTAACAAATTTCTCGAAAGTACTAGTATGCAACATTTTACATGAAAATGACGAACTAGATAATTAGTAAACACGTTAAATAAGTTGGTATTACAGTACTAACAAGCTTATGATCCTGTATCATTTTTTGACATCCGTTTTAAGTATACAAATAATGCATTTAATTCAGTTTGCTTCATGACCTTCATTCCCGCCAAAATCGTCCTTTTGGCGCCGTCTTTTGACATTGTCAGTGCTTCTCAGTATTGTGACGTTACTATGGACCTTTGACGTTCTACACAATCAACAAGATTTGTGTGTAGAAGCCGTAAATGTCCCTTTGGCAGCAAGAGGGTTAATATTGAACATAGTATTACAATTGCCTACGTTTATGTGATTGGATTTCATGACGTCATTCATTGTTTACAAACGTTATTTTTGCACTCGCACTGACATTTCAACAAGTCAACAGTTCAAACTTCTTCTGGACAAAAGGTATGGTATATATTGAATATTTTGAAACTGAGAAAATTGTCGCATGCCGCATGGCTAATTTAAAACACATATCCTCAGTAGGAGAATACGCGTTACACATTGGCGGATCTAGGGGGGTCCGGGGGTTGGAACCCCCCTTTTATGGGACGATCAATGAATTTGAATGGGGACATATAGTTGGAACCCCCCCCCCCCCCCCCCCACTACTTGACCAAACGTTATGAAATAATATCAATCAATAATTGATATTTGAGAATGATAAATCCTGAATGTTTCTGAACATATGATAAGGAAAAGGGGGTGGGCATCGGCGGATCCAGGGGGAGGGGTCCGATGGTTGGAACCCCCTTTTTTTTGGCGATTAATGCATTTGAAAGGGAAAATAAATTTGGGAACCCTATCTCCTGATTTGGATCCCCTTTTTAAAAATTGCTGGATCCGACCGACACATGCTCATTTCCTCAAATCCTGTGTTTTTGTCACACAGTATTTTTTTCAGATCTTTTCCCACTTCCCACTTCTTTCTCTTCTGTCCCGATCCCACTTGTTCCTATTTTGACCGGGTTTTTTTTTTAACCGATGCTTCATTTATTTGTGATACATTTTGATATTAGTCCACCATTGTCCCAGGTGCCAACAAACTTATATAATCCCGCCACATTGACTGCTATATATTGTTTATTATTTTTCTCGTTTGAAATGTTTTACAATAACATTTTAGTTACTTTTAGATTTTTTTATTCAGCCATGCTGGATCTATGCGATCACTCTGGTTTTGGAGATGGTGCAAAATACTAAGTTGAAGACATATCATGAAACTAATTATTTATGTTTTTATGACTTGCAGAAACTTTCTACACCATTTTAATCATCAACTGCAAACTTTTGACACGTTATAATTATTATAAAGAGCACATAAATAGACTTATGGTTAAAGCTACATGTGCATGAAATATTTGTCACTGGCAAACACCAATACTTCGAGGTTGATGGATTTAATTATCATATTTTGCTTTTTTTATTTAGGAATAAATTCTCAGAATGATTAACAGCATAGAAGACAGCCGCTGAAATGGGAACGTACGATGTGAAAATTAAAGACCTATATACAGAAGGATGTATTTTAATATGGCATTCATCAGAAAAGACAATATTTAATCATAAACCATGTAATTCCGTTGAGTTTCGTACAAGTACCAAAACATAAAAAATGGATGCTTGTAATGAGCTCATATTAGAACTAGGGAGTCCTCTGGAATTACCAATCTACATGTAACAAGACACATCATATGTGAGACTGAATTGAGGAAAAGACACCAGCCAGGAAACTGACATTCTATAAAGCATTCCAAAGAAAAGATGGCAAAGGGGGGAGAGCAATAAAACATGATGCAAGCAAAATTAAGTGTTTCTTTGATTGTTTTATTTATGAACCTTAATTACAAGGGTCATAAAATAATCAAGGGGTTATATAGTACAATTGTATCCTAAGTTTCTGTTGAATTTAACTATATTTTGTACTTAATATATATATATCAACAGAAATATTCTTTAAATAATTTAAAATGTGCAAATCTTATTCCTCCGTTATATAAAAAAATGTAGTGGTGCATGCAGGCAATATTTTATGAAAAATTGTTTTCAAATTCACCAAAAACTTGCTACATAGCAAGAATACGCCATGTTTGCCAGCTTTTACATAAATAAAAAAAAACTTAAATGTCACTGGTACATCTATATGAAATAAAGTCTGCTGCTGCCAAAAATCAAGATTACAAACTATGTTTCTAAAAGTAGATTACAACAATACTGAACTCTGAAAAATTTTAAAAAGCGGGGAAATTTCATAAACATCTGGCAAAACCAAACGCTAAAGCACATCAAATAGCAGAACGAATGGAAAACAACCGTCATATTCTTAATTTGGTAAAGGCATTATCTTAATTTTCTCATAATAATCCTCCCAGTTTTTTCAAGTATTCTTACTCTGAAAGGAAAATATGAAAGAAAAATCATTTGCAACTTTACAAATTATCGGCATGAAAATGATTGACATTTTTGTCACAGACTTCATATGTTTATTTGACAATAAAGATTATTATATTAAAACAATTGTTATGATAAATAAAAGAAATTCCAGTTATGATAAAAAAAAAAGAGATGAGACATTGTTTTATGTTAATTACAATTCATTGCCTAACATATTAACATATGGAATCATTAATGTCAACATGTTTTAAGCAATAGCAAAATACCAAAAATGATCAGTATTGAAGATTCTTATCTTGTTAGATATATGTATAAATTGTGCGGTTTTATACACATTGATATTGTAAAATATCAGCCTCGAACCACAATGTAAATCTCTCTGGTGTCGATTGCGTATTTTTTTTTAAACACAGAAAGACAGTCGCAATCAAAATCAAGGAGTAAACAAAGACTCATAAAACCAAAGTGCATTTACAACAACAGTTAGAATACATAAAAAGAAACAACACCAACTCGACTAAAAACCGGGAATGAATTCATGTGCTTCTAAAGGGTAAATAATTCCCTAGAGAAAATCCGATAAACTGCTTATCTTGCTTCATTTTTGTTGTTTTTCCTTTCACTTCAATAGTTTTTTGATAGACGAAAGTAAGCTTGATACTTTTCATCGGTCATTTTCACGTCGCTAAAAAGTCCTGCTCAGCAGAGTGATATAGTCGAAGAGAAAAACCATAAGTTTTTATATGTAGCCAGCTAAACAAGGATTATAATAATATAGTCACGGAATTATCCAACCTATTTTTGGATACCAATTGTACTCAGATGCACATGTGTCAAAATTTCTCTAATGATAGAGGTCAACACTGAATCAGCGATGTCTACACAAGATACAAAATATAAAAAAAATAAAAAAGAGTCATCAACATGTCACAATATACCATACTATACTTACTTAGTTTATAAGTTTTCAATTCCCAATATTTTTTTAAACAAAATGCATTCAGATTAAAAAGATAAACCACACCAAATCGACTGCTACAGCTATACCTAAAGAAACAACTATTTTTGATATATATGGATAAGGTGCGCACTAAAAAGTAAGTATTTATTAAAAAAGTAAATGACAAACATCAGTACAATAATAGTACTAATAAAATCGGTACAACAACAATACTGACAAATTAAGTACTGAAACATTACTGACAAAATCAGTACTGAAACATTACTGACGAAGTCAGTACTGAACTAGTACTGACAAAATCAGTACTGAAACAGTACTGTCAAAATCAGTACTGAAACAGTACTGACGAAATCAGTACTGAAACAGTACTGAAAAAAACAGTACTGAATTTATAGAATTAGTTACGGTACAGTTATTGTATAATAATGAACAGTACTGAAGTAATAGAAAGTATAACATTACAAGTTTTTAGTCTTGCCGAACAGTACTGATATGTACGAGGGTAGAAATGTACCAAAAAAACGTGGGTAAATTCTTGGTAGTGTACACGAGTCATTGGATTTAACGTCCTTATTCTGACCGGACGTGGCTGCGTACTTGAGAACATCCCGCACAACCAAACGGACGCCCACTCTGGCGAGGTTTATACTGCCGGTCGGAAGAAGACCAACGTGACCATATTTCTATTATCCAGTCACCCTTGGGGATTCTTCACACAGGAACTTCTCAGGAGACGAAAAAAAGTCTAACTAATTTTTTAACTTGAAATGAATCTCAACAGAGTAAAGTACTCTCAAATACTTTAACTTTCAACTTTGATCATTTAAAATACTTATTAAAGAGAGGCAAAAGATCCAAAGAGACAACTAACTTGTATGTCAAAAAACAACAGGCAACACCATGGTGTGTCCCGCCATTGTGTTTTTGTGCTATGGTCATTTTTGCTGATGTGCTATATGTCATCTTGTTTTTCTTTGTTGACATTTTTGTATGTTTTTATATTGATTAAGGATTATAACACAATGTTGACTGCTGTACATATAAGAAGATGTGCTGTACCCCTATTTTGAACATTTTTTCATATTATGTCTGTTTGTTTCGTTCACACATTGTTATCAATATAATGGAATTTTATAAGACTGTCATACAAGTGAAAGATTTAGCTAGCTATAAAACAGGTTTAATCCACCATTTTCTACATAAGGTCCGAGTACACAGTTATCGTCCTTTCGTTGTCCACAAATATAGTCTCTAGTGTGGACAGTGTGTTACTTGCCATTTTTTTTTATACCCCTTCCAAATTTATTTCTCCATGTTTTATGCCTCAAATAGTAAGTAGGGGGATGAAATTACACTGTAAAAAAATTTGGGTCATGAATTTTAAAGTAAAGTAGTGATTTGGTCCAGCTGAAAAAGGTTAAAAATAAGCACTTCGGAAGCTGTCAAAAGATTTCAAGACCCCCTTAACATACAATTGTCCATATTTTGAGTTAGAGCCGATGAAGTTTTCTATAATTTTGATATAATTTGTCCCAAAAGTAGTACAACACACTGTAAAAATATTATTGAGAGAGCGCAGGTGGGATTTTTTTAATTTTCATTTATTGTCTAAAAGAAATGCACTACGAAATAACTGTGTACTCGGACCATAAGGAAATGCCTATACCAAGTCAGGAATATGACAGTTGTTTTCCGTTCGTTTGATGTGTTTGAGCTTTTGATTTTCTCATTTGATAAGAGACTTTCTGTTTTGAATTTTCCTTGTAGTTTTTTGTTATTTTACTTTTTTCAGTACAAACCGGTAATAAGTCTAATTTGGTAGATTACATTCGGGTAAAAGGAGGACGGGGTTGTGGTAACGACGATTGGAACATATCTGTCGTCATCTGCGAAACAGATATTCCATAACAGTCAAACAACTCGTGATGTCGTCCGTAAAGTTTTTGGAAGGGAATATTAGGGTTAGGGTTAGGTTCAAGACTTAGAACTCTTGGTTTAATAACTTAAAATTAGTTGAAACAATACATTTATAACCTTTTATCTTCTGCTAAAATAAATAAATAAACATACAATATTTTTTTGACACGGGTTATAGTATTTGAAAAGTAATGAATAAATTGTGTACCAATGCTATCGTTTGTTTTGTGTTATCAACTTATTTTGTCCTATAAATTCAATCACTGCATAAGTTTTGTTTTACATTTTATGGACATAGTTTAGAGGAATCAGTCCTGATGCATGAATCAACACCTGATTACAGTGTCTGAAAGTCTAATAATACTTTGCACTTTTGTGTGGTATTAGCTATTCTTAAAATGTTCTCTTTTGGTCATATAGCTTCTTTATTTCTATCTATCTATTATGAGTATGGAATTAAAAAAAAACATTATTAGCAATCTAAAATTACAATCTCATAATATTCTCTTCTTTTGTAGCCTTGTTTTTCTTTAGTACATCAATTTGTGCCTGAGCACTGAACTGTAAATGTACTCGGTTTATCTCAAGAGCTGAAATAAAAATTCATTCAAATGAGTGTTCAACTTTTAACTTGTTTGAAATGATAGATCTTTTTTATTCAGTCTTTATGTCTTGTATTTGTTTTGTGGTTAACATTGATCCACTAGTAAACATTTGAAACAAAAGTAAATTGTTGTTATTTGTTTTTCCATAGTTGGTATACTTTATACATACATTAACTATGAGAATCACTGCACTTAATTCGTGTTTTTATGACACAGCTGATGATTTCATTGTATAGTTCCTTACAGAATTCCGGAGTGTTAGAGTAGAAAAAGGCATAATTGTATCTTCAACAGATAAATACTTTTGAGCTTGCTTTAAGAAAACTATCTATGCCTTGGTCTACTAAGAGAAGTTGTCACCATTTTTCCATTTTTTTCCTTTGTAGCATATTTAGAATTCTAGCCCTGATAACTTGTCATGTTTATAGAATGCATTCACCACATGTCTAGACTAAAGAGTGATTCTGGGATTTCCGTATAGATTTGTCGTTTAGTCAAAGCTACAGAAATTGTTACGTCACTAGACTTTTGGTGTTTTAGATGATGTCACATTCAAATATATATTATATAAATAAGCTTCGACGCTAGGGGCCGTCTTGACCTTGTTGTAGGGTATGAATGATTCGTTCATTGTTGAAGACCCTACATCAGTTGTCAAGGTGAAGAACAGGAATAAAAGCCCTGTTCATTGATAATTTTCTATGTTTTCTATGTATTGTGTGCGATTTTGTCCCATGTACATTTACTCCATATCCTTTCATTTTCTATTAAAGGACAAAGTCATAAAACATTAAATACATTTAAACTTTGATACGATTGAAGATCTTCATTATACTTTCTATATAAGTTATATTTTTGTCAAAATATAAGCTTTTTCCACTCATAGGACATTAAGCGGTCACCAAACTACCCCTTGCTTCAATATTTCAAGCTAATTTATAATGAAAAACCCCCCATCCCTCAAAAAATAGTATAACAAAAATATCGAACTCCATGGCAAATTCACAAAGGGGAAGCCATAAAAACTGACAAAATCAAACGCTATCAATCAACGGGACAAGTGAAAAACAACTGCCACATTCCTGACTCGGTACAGGCATTTTCCGACGAAAATGGTGGGTAAAACCTGGTTTTGTAGATAGAGAAACCTCCCACTTGTATGCCAATTGTTTGTAGTTCCGTCATATTGACAACATTGGGTGAGCAACTCAAACAGACACAACAGGGCTAACGTGACAATAATTGGGGACCAGCAGTCAAAACTGTGAAAACATACATCGCAAACATACAACACAACTGATTAAACAATTCAGACAAACATACAGATTAATCTAACAAAGGTGTAGTATATAGTAAACTTTAAATTTGACAATGACGTGAACAAAAAAGATTTTGGCAATAATCGTGTACTGCAAAATATTGTTCTTTGAAATATTGTCCCCAAAGACAATATTTAATGACTTTGGATCATGAAATTTTGCCCAGATCTATGAAATAATGTCCAGAGAAGGACAAATTCCTATATGCAATTTTGTCCATATACAGACAATATTTCATAGATGAATAGTATGACATTTTCTCTTGTTAAATGGAGGTTATCCAAGGATAAATATTATTTATATTCAGACAATATTTCATAG